CCAAATTTCCACGTCTCCAAATTCCCACATTCCCAAATTCCCACATCCTCAAATTCCCACATCCCCAAATTCCCACATCCCTAAATTTCCACGTCCCCAAATTCCCACGTCCCCTAATTCCCACATCCCCAAATTCCTACGTCCCCAAATTTCCATGTCTCCAAATTCCCACATCCCCTAATTCCCACATCCCCAAATTCCCACGTCCCCAAATTTCCACGTCTCCAAATTTCCACGTCTCCAAATTCCCACATCCCCAAATTTCCACGTCCCCAAATTCCCACATCCCCAAATTCCCACATCCTCAAATTTCCACGTCTCCAAATTGCTACGTCCCCTTACTACGTCTCCAAATCACTACGATCCCAAATCGCTACGTCCCTGAATCGGTGCATCCCTAAATTCCTACATCCCCAAATCACGATGTCTCCAAATTCCTACATCCCCAAATAGCTAAAACTCCAATTAATCAAAACAGAAAAATGGACGCCTTCTACACCTCCAAATCTCAATATCCTTATTTTCCTACATTTCTACTCTCCATCTTCACATTTCTATAACCCTAAATTTCTAGATGCATGGATATCTATCATCAGATCCTTGCATACGTAGTTACCTATACTCCTATACTATACACATATCCGCAGTATATGATAGATGAAGGAAACTTACAGCAACGTGTAGCAACTTCCGGATGGCCTGGTTGTTTCCGGTTCCACAATAGGCCATGGCGAGGGTGTACATGCCACTCCTACGAAGTATCGGATCCTTATCGGCGCAAAGGGAAGTGACCAAAGGATCCGCTTCCTCCAGGCGACCATACATGGTAAACGCAATACCAACCGCCAACCCTCGAAGGATTTTCTCGTGCTGCGTTTCTTGAGCATACTGAAAGTAACAATTGAATATTTATTAAACATAATTCTGTGTTTTCGTGATTTAAATCTTATTGCTATCGGACGTATAAAAATATCAAGAATTCTATAATAAATTATCACAGAATAGAATTAACTCCTTCCCGTACTTTGACGAGTCCCACTCGTGACGCGCTTACAGCTCAAATGTGACAAACCTTACTCAAACTTTGAACATTCTTCAATTCGAAATTTAGGTCAAACTATAAGTTGCATTATCAAGGATCCCTGAATATAAAATACTCACAACATTTTAATTTTCTTTGTTCGTTTTAATGTTATAGTTCTGAATAGTTAGTCTTGACTGACGCATTTATTAAATGAATGACACAGGAAGGGGTTAAGATCAATGTTGTATCGACCCTCTAACTCAAAGTCATCATCGTAAATGAATTATGTCCCTGAAGAAATAATTACGAGAAAATAAAATACAATATAAATCTTCTGTTTCATAATATTAACAAACAGGAATTAATAAATGACAACCTAATATAAAATTTTTAATAATAATTGAAGTCATAAAATTTTTAATTATAATTGAAGTTATAAAACTTTTTCTGTTGATATAACTTAAAGCTAGTTAACAAAGAATAAATTTTAACAAAAATCCGAAAAATCTCGACAAAGTTTGAGTTCCCTGAAAATGTTGCAACAAGTTTCGCATTAATTCGAGAGAATTGAAGTTTCATCGTCTAAAACAAATTTCTGGCGACGGAACGAAATGCTCGCTGCTTCTGGATAGGTGAAACAACCCTGACAAAGCGATGCAGTTTGTCCCGCGGCTATTTTTCCGGCAACAGTAAGTGGATTTCGTTGTTACTCTTCGAGGTAATCGTCTCACCAAGAAATACGACATCGCGTTATTTCGTGAACAAAAATCCCCAGGGTAAATACGAAAAAATCCACCTTTAAGAGGATATTATGTAACTAGCTAAAAAAGTATTTCGTATGCATGCAGGAAGAAGGAGATGTAGTTTTTCTTTTTTTGTGGAAACAGTAATTATATTTATATTTATTTTAGTTATTTTATTATTTATTATTTTATATTTATTTTATTTATACGTTTCATTTGTGATACGATTTTTATGTTGAGAATTGGAAACTTAGAAATTAGGAGATTTTGAAATTTGGAATTTTTGGGATTGGATTTTCAAGATTGGAATTTTTGAAATTGGGAGATTTTCGAATTTGGAATTTTTGGAATTAGGAAATTTTCGAGTTTGGAATTTTTGGAATTAGGAGATTTTCAAATTTCGAATTTTTGGAATTAGGAGATTTTCAAATTTCGAATTTTTGGAATTAGAAACTTTTCAAATTTCGAATTTTTGGAATTGGAAATTTTTAAATTTGAAATTTTTAGAATTAGAAAATTTCCAAATTTGGAATTTTTGGAATTAGTAAATTTCCAAATTTGGAATTTTTGGAATTAGAAAATTTTCAAATTTGGAATTTTTTGAATCAGAAGATATTCAAATTTGGAATTTTTGGAATTAGGAAATTTTGAAATTTGGAATATTTGGAATTAAATTTTGAAATTTGGAATTTTTGGAATTAAGAGATTTTGAAATTATGAAATGTTGTCTAACTAAAAATTAAATTCGATAAGTTCCAAACCCTAAAAATTAAAAAAATCAGAAAATCCTGCAATTTCCCAAAACTTGAGAACTTGAAAATTCATAATTTCGAATAACCATAAATTTTCAAACTAAAATCTCTGCATATATCATACAAATATAAGTTAAAACAAAAGTAGTGTATCTATACATGATAGTGATCAAACTATTAAGATTTAAGAAAGCAAATTTATCAAAGATTACCATTACATTTCGCAATCAAGTAGCACTAGTGTTTTTAACTAATATAATCACATTTTTCTACCAACACACATCCAGATTAATCAGAAACACGAACAAGTAATCGCATATTGGATGAGAATCAGTGACTTATCGCGATACTATTCAAGTGGACGACCATTGTTACCATTCAACCTATAAAAGACACCAAAATGAGAAATCTAAGCAGTGTCGCTGATTTCTGATACATCTACTGAGAAGAAAGTAAGAATGGTTGCTCCAGCATCTTTGGCATTAGGTTCGTACATAAGTATTAATAAACATTCATGTTTGAGCCTATTGAACTTAGATCATTCATAGATCTCCAGAACTTAGATCTTCATTCATAATCTCTTGAAAACAAAGAGGGCTTTTTAATAAAAATTTTCCATATTTGTCAGATTTTTATATTTTATCTGAAAGATGTGACAAAATTGAAAAAGAAAGATTCTTCACTTCCATTAGAACTAATATAAAGACTGAAATTAAAATAAAAATAAAACTTAAGATCAGTTATTAACAAATTTTATAAACTCCTTCTACTTTAATAAAGTTTGAACTTTCATAAAATGTTTATGAAGCAGGGTTAACATAAAATGTGATAAATGACTACTCTAACGAAGATACTTTTGTTGCAGTTTACCCTGCGCTGCTGACAGCGTTGTTAAATGCTAATTACACCATCTTCCCCACGGAAGATGGAACACCGCACCTGATTAAAATCGATGACACACCACTCACGCGGCAACAACTCGATACTCTGGCTGTCAATGTGCAATCTATCACTTTCACGCTTTTCACGCAGTAAGCATTTTACTTTGCTTTTACGTAGAATAACCAGAAGCAGAACTTAGGCACTGATTTACAAATTAATTTCAGAAATAACCCGCCGAGCGGACAAAGATTAAGGTTGCATGATGACGATTCTATTAAAGCGAGCGACTGGGATGCAAATCGACCGACGGTGTTTATCACACATGGCTGGGGAGGCGATGGTGCTACGTCATCCTGCACTTCTGTGCGAAATGGTAAATAATTTCAGTTTGGTAAAATCCTACTTTATTCCAAAGCTAATTTCTCTTTGCCAGAAACTTTTCATAAGTCCGTCAAAATGTTGGTAGACATTTTACCTTCCATGATGGTAAATCATGATTTACACCGACTATGATGGACCCTGTTTTGTTCATAGCATACCTCAGAAGTGGACTGGACTATAACGTGATCGTCATGGACTGGCGCTATCCAGCCAAAGGTTTATACACCATAGTTGCAAGAGGTGTACCACAAGTAGCAACACAGCTAGCAAGGTTCATCCTTTTCATGAAATCATCGTGGAATTTGAATACCTTATCTACAACGCTTGTGGGACACTCTCTTGGTGCTCATGTGGTGAGCTTAGCAGCGAAGGGCGTCTTAGAATCGAGTCCAATCGCTCGAGTCGTTGGTAAATAATCACGCCTCAGAATTTCGATATGGCAGAAAAGCTGATAATATAGATAATGCAAAATATTCCATAACTACCTAATCAAGAAATATTTTTCCACTTCATAATTCACCTTTCAAAACAGAGTTCAACATCAGTACCTTCTGTTGCTAAAGTAACAAGGGTCTATGAAATCTGCAAAGAAAAATACTGAAATTATGTTGCAGGTCTCGACCCCGCAAAACCGATGTTTCAAAACCGTGGGTCAAACTGTAGACTTGATAAATCACATGCCAAATATGTTGAAGTACTTCACACCAGTAAATTCTTTTTGGGTATGAGTACTGCTGTTGGTACCGTCGATTTCTTCGCTAATAATGGACTACATCAGCCAGGATGTAACATATTTGTCACAAGTAAGAATATTTGCTAAACAAAGTAAAGGTCTAATATAATAAGAATAGTTTGCTGACTGATTCAAGCTATTAGACATTTAATAAAATTACTGTGAAATACAGTAATGTATTATCTAATTTGGTAATGAGTACTCATTTCGTTACACAGATTCATGTTCTCATCAACGAGCCTTTGCGTACTTTAGTGAATCCATAATGAAGCCTACTCGCTTTCGTGCTCAAGCTAGAAACGGTGTGATAGCGTACATGGGAGGTCCAGATTTTAATAAAAGGTAAGCGATTTTGTCAGTAATTATACGCATAAAATTAATTATACTGCAATATTAAAGAAACCTAACCTTAAACGAATTTAATTTATACTTAATTTATTTATAGCGCTCGTGGAATCTTTTACTTCAAAACAAACAGTAGATCTCCTTATGGACGTGGTTAAAATACAACACATTTGTAAATTTAAATAAAAATTATTCTTCTACTTACCGCTACCATGTCTTCTATCGCTTGAGTTGATTTGGATCCTAGCATAACCATGCCCATAGCAATGCCCGCTGCTTCGCCGGTAATAGCGTCGTCTTGATAAAGGTTGAATTTTAACTGTTCATACACGTCCTGTCTGTGTGACCCCATAGCAGCTAATCCCAGACCCAAACAACCTCCATGCCTCACCATCTGGAAAGAACAAACATTGCTCGCGTGAAGATACTTTTTCATCGCGGTGAAATAAATGCATTACTTGAATACATACCTCGTTCTGTGCATCCTTTAATTGTCCAAGTAAATAATCTGTGATTGCTGCACCGTGGTTAGCGTGGATAAGACCTAACGCGTATAAACCGCCTCCTTCGGAGTAGCCAGCACCCGCGCCTGTATCCCGCGGAAGATACGATTGCATCAAAGCTAGAGCTTCCTGTTCGTGACCTCTGTGTATTACTCCTAGAGATGCGGTGGCAGTTAACTTCGCCCAGTTCGTAGCACGAGCTAACCACTCTAGATTGTCTCTAAAATTCCACATTTCATTAAAATGCCGTACGTAAAGGCTAAGTTAGCTTAATAGCAAGAATTTCTTACCTTAAAAATTGATCGCTAGTAGTTCCAGAATGCATGTACGCATTCGCGATTACAGTGGCAGTATGACAAATGGAGACGCGTATTGCGTCTTTAGTATTTTTCAATATTAACATGTCGGTATGATTGCTTCGAATTAAAAATTGCAAATGTAAGTCGATAGAAATTTCTCCGCCTAATATACTCGACAGAGCGTCTACTCTTTCTTGTTGCTCGCGCTCTTCCGCGTTCTGAGAATAAATAAATAAATGAATATTTCGACACTGTGTTTCTTAAATAATTTAACTTACCAAACTTTCGACGCTACGCTGAGATTTTTCTTCTGGTGCCGGTGTACTGTTTTCGGGTTCAGCAGTCTTAGAAGATTCGGAATTTTCATTGGTGGATGCTTTTACAGCTGGTTTAACGATGGGTTTAACGATAAGAGCTCCTGGAATCGGAGCTGTTGCTCTAAGGGCTTGTAAGACACGACCAAGGAACTGTTGAGTCGCTGATTCGTACAAGTCAAACGCGATTTGATAGGCCATAAGAACACAATCTTGCGAGCCTTTGCTTAACCTATCTAAAAGTTCGGCTACGGCTAATGGATCATCCAGGAATATCAAACACTGACACATATTAACATAATCAGGGGTTCCCAGATTCCGGTAAAGGCTCACTAAGCAACGAAGTACAGTGTTGCGGAAACCACGGTTCTGAATAAGGCTCATGACAACTTGGAAGGCATAAGACAACATGCTACTTACATCTTCCTAATAACAAAAAATCAGAATGTAAACTATATATAGTCAAATTTATATATCATCAAATATTAACTATATCTTATGATTTGAATAAAATTTATCTTACCGACTGCATAATGGCAGCTTCAAATATATCCATTCTTCTAGTTTCAAGAGCAAGTCCTAATGCTTGGCGATACTGATTATCATCTAAACAACGCTGGAACATTCTATTCACAATTCCTTCCAACCTTGGATCGATTCCTTTGCTACCTGGTGGCAACTTTCCTTCTGCTTCCAATACACGTTGTTGAGTGTAAAAATCAATACATTTAGCTAAAACAAAGTAAAAATATAAATATATGATCTGAAATAAATTCTGATTAATAACAAATTAAGTATATTATTATCACCTATAGTTGTGTCAACATATTCATTGCGAGCGTTGACATCAAATAATTCTCCTGCTCCAAGAGCATAAGTAAGAGAATCTTCGAAACTTCCTAAATGATAATACACTTTACTAGCAACTAATGCAGCTAAATCATGTTGTGGAAATGACTTATCTTCATGAAGAATTTCACTGTAACAGAGCACATAAATCATCAGAACAAAGAAATAAAATAATTACTTGCTATGCTCCAAAATAAATTTTAATCTTAACAGAGATTTATTATTACGTACATTTTCTCTATAGCTTCAGAGATCTCAGGCCAAAACTCGTCGACTATCATGTCCAGCTTTTTCAAAGCAAAGACTTTTAATTCTGGCATTGGCTCCTCAAGGAGGGAAATGATACCAGCTGAAAAAAGTATAAAAATTACATTTAAAATTAAATTAAATGAACCATATAAAAGATGAAGAAACTATGGAATAACCTAATGCACAAGTTAATATAAAATAAATCACTGTATTTGATAATTAAAGCACAAGCTTGAAGGTTATGGTCAACAAGATTTGCAAATCATTGTATGTGTATCATTCAAGTGCTCCATAAAATTTTATTAATAATCGGTGAGCAAGTAAAATTTAAATATGTAGTTCAATAATAATTATTAAATACACTATTTACCGGCGGATGTGATATTCATGTTGATTTTCATACGGTATAACTTCTTTCGGCAAAACGTCTTCAATACAGTTTGATGGCAAGCCACTAACTGACCAACCAAACTCAATTGAACTCAGCTGCAGAATATTGCAAGGACCTCCACCTTGACGATTGAAGGATTCATTGCCTAAGAAAAATTGTCAAATTTTTCTCATAATACTAAATTTAATACACCTTTATTATTTCTAAATGAGAATAAAAGTAATATAATATCAAAAATGATAATGATAATAAAGGAAGATAAAAAAATGAAACACTTGTGATATTGCAAACTTGAGTTCTGTACAGTGGCACCATTGCATTATGAGCGGCAAACACTTCATATATAATTTTGTATCTATGTTGCAACATTAACCTAAAATACATACATTAGTGATCAATCATTGTGAAGAGTAAATAATATTTTATAGCGGTATTTTCCAGAATGACAGAAAAAGCAAAAACCATGAGTCACGTTAAACATATTCCAAAAGATGCGCAAGTTATAATGTCTATTATGAAAGATATGGGAATCTCGGATTATGAACCGAAGGTTATAAATCAATTACTTGAATTCACCTATCGTACGTATTTTACATTTTCAATTTATTTATTGTGTATATAACTGATTAAAGATATGAGTGATCATATGTTGTTTTCTGATCGAATCAAGAAATGTTTCATTTTTATTTTACAGGTTATGTTACTTGTATATTAGACGACAGTAGAATTTATGCGAACCATGCTAAAAAGAAATTTATTGATTTGGACGACGTTAGATTGGCAGTCAAGATGCAGTTAGAGCGCACCTTTACGAATCCACCACCTAGAGACGTGTTGTTAGATGTTGCTCGAGCAAAGAACAATATACCACTTCCATTCGTTAAACCAAGTAATGGTTTGAGATTACCTCCTGATCGATACTGTTTAAATGCAACAAATTATAAGCTCAAAAATATCACAAAGAAAGTGGTTGGGAAGCCATTGCATTCTTTAGTCGGAAATAATATTCAAGGCGGTCAATCTAAAATTAAGGTAGAAGGCAATAAGACTGGCCTTTCAATCGTTAAAAGACCTGGAACGCTTGCAACAGTAGCTAGAACTCAAACTATTTCAATGCCAAAGCCTATTCCGAAGTTTTCAACAGGTAAGTTCCATGGAATGTTACGGAAGTGAAATTTAATTTTTATTTATTTCAAATTACTCCACAGATTCCTTACGAATCCTTCAGTCCCAAACATCCATTCCCTCTATTCACATTTCATTAAGGACTCATATATGTAAGATTCAACTTGTATAAGTAGTACTAGTACTTAACTTTTTTTAATTGTTTACATGCTTTTTAAATTTTTAGCGACAACAGGAGCAGCTACCGTAAAAGCACAAGTGGCTAAGCCAAAGATTCAAATTTCGTCAGGTCAGACAATGCCACCTGTTAAAGTAGAAGTAGAAGATTCAATGAAAAGAAAGAGGGAAGATGATGATTATGACGTACCATAACAATAAATGATAAATACTGAATGTTTTATTTTATGCTTTTAATGTACAAAAAAATATCGCAACCTTTTTAATTTATAATTCGCAATGGTGTGTAATTTGAACTGCACCTATAAACAAAATTATATATTTTTAAAGTAATATGTAAATACGTCTTTCTTAATTCGGCTTTACTATGTTTTATGCATATTTTTTTGTTAGAACAATGATGGACAAAGTACCCGTCTTTTGTAATTCGCAAATTATCGGTGCCTCGTTGTTCTAGGAAAGCAATTTTCTGTTACAATATTCTTTATTTAGATATTTGCCATGTTCAGTACAATAATGAATCTTAAATAAACTTCAGTTCGAGTTGACTGAACATTTTACAACAAAATTTATTTAAATATTATTCTACACTAAGTCACATTATTTGCTGCTGAGTTTCATATTCTTCTTCATCTTCCTCTTCCGACGCATACTCTGGAGACGTTAAACCTGTAGTTGCGTGCACTTCAATCTCATCATCTGCGCGTTCTTCATCTTCACCCTCGAAATCACCCGCATCCAAAGCTTCAGCGTCTTCCTCCTCATCTTCCTCTTTCAGTTCATCCGTCTTTGGTTCTGGTTCTGCCGCAACACCTTCGGACTCCACCGACTCTTCTTTTTCACCTTCTTCTATGTCATCCTCGGGACCCTCGCCTGTTTCGAAAGGAGGTGGTTTCTCAACCTCCACTTTTTCTATGTCCTTGTCTTTCGGCTTCTCCACCTTCGACTCTCGGACACACTTCCTTCGGTGAACAGGGAGGAAAAGCTTGAAGTCATCCGGCAGTTCGTCTTCTGAATAAAGTCTAAACATTTTTGTAAAATCATTTTGTGAAATTCAAAGTGGTTTATGGGCAGCAGGGGTAACCTTATGAGGGTTAAAATTTAATTCTTTATTATTTGATTCAATTTTTAAGGGGAAGTGTGCAGTATAATGATGTTACTGCACACTGTATTAATACTATTATCATTGTTAACGATATTTTTATGAGTAAAAATATTTAGAAATTCGATGATATTAATTTAGAAATTCGAAGAAGGAGTACAAGATGAAATATGTACAATATTATTGTATGTACAAGCTGAAAGTACCTCCTTAAATATAAATGAAAATTATTTCATTTATATTTAAAGTCATGGTTGATATTTAAAACAGATTTTGACCTGTCTGCAAAGTAAATACGTCGGATCCTGCAGTTCGCGTGTATTTGTATGCGGGTGGTTTCCATGTAGCTACTGCCATACGCTCTTCGCGTGAAGTCTGACAGGTTAAACAGAACCTGGTTCCAACTACCCGACAAACCGATTGGCATTGACGTGCAAAAGGGTCGAACTCGGGTGGTGCTTTGAAAATTGCTCATTCGAAACCTTCTGTGCATGTTTCTGTCGTCCAGTATCTACTGAAGCGAAGATACTTCAGTCACGAAATCGCTTTTTCAAAAATTCCTTTGTTAAGAAATTTACTGTTATCTCGAATGTGAAGTACTTCTTCATGTTCTTGATGATCATGATGAGGAAGGGAAGTTTTATACCGAGAGATTTTTTCGGGTCCTTTGGACAGAATATGTAGGTTGTTGTGACATTCGTCCCTGCTATTTCCAGAGCCAACGATTTCACTTCTTCGTCCGTTACCCTTCGGATAAAACCGTTTTTCACCTATCCAAAATGATTTTATCATGATATATAGAAGATTTATTTCCGTAATCGAACGAGCAAATTAGAGCTGGTTCTATAATATCACGCGTGATATTGAAACGTAATCTAATAATAGATTAAGTAAGTCAAGATAAGAATAGGGCGGGGTTAGATCGTGGTTGGTTAATTTGTATAATGGACTCTAACGTTAATTACCAAACTGAGATCTTGAGGTTTAATCCTACGATAATTGTTAAACTTACGTGCATATCCCATATCTCCAAAGGGGACGCACCGCAGCTGTACAAAATGGACAAAAGTCCTTGCTGATATTTGTTACGAAACATCGTATCGAACGCAAAATTAAAAATAAGATATTTTCACGGTATCATCTCGCAAACGTCAAAAACACGCTGAGTCCTTTGTTTCGAACCGAATTTGTTTAATTCGGAAATAAATTATACCGTTCCTGATTGTTTTAGAAAGAAGACTCGTTTCTCTTTATTCAAATTTATAAATTTATTTATTCGTTACAATCGAGATTCACGTGTTACGAATAAGTTCATGAATGTGACGTCTCTGGTTATCGGTTGCGAAATCGGGGACAATCAATGTCTTCGGCGGCATACCGACGCTGAAGACACGGTCGATCCTGACGCTGTCGAGGGCGAACATCTGCATCATCGCGAAATGCATGATTTCTCGATTCAATTGTCGTTTGATCTGTTTCCTGGTGCTCTGCAGACGACGACGACAGACGACGTTGCTTTAAATAGATTCAATCGTTAACCAACGATCACAATTATATTCGATGGAACAATTTATTGTGTGAAAAAAATATTTCAAGCGGAAACACAATAATAGGATCACTAATTATTTTCTGTTTTTCAAATTTATGAAGTTGAGTTTTTTTAAAGTAAAGTTTTTAACTTTATAAAGAAATTTATAGAGTTGAATGTCTGAAATTTTTAAGCGTAGGAATTTTAAGTAAAAAAAATGTTAAAATGTGGGAATTTTTAGTTAACTAGTTTTCAAATGTGGGAATTCTGAATTGAGAAATTTTCGAATGTAGAAATTTCAAGTTAAAAAATTTTCAAATGTAGGAATTTCAAGTAAAAAAATTTTCAAGCATAGGAATTTCAAGTTAAGGAATTTTTAAATGTAGGAATTTCAAGTAAAAAAATTTTCAAACGTAGGAATTTCAAGTTAAGGAATTTTCAAATGTAGGAATTTCAAGTAAAAAATTTTCAAGCGTAGGAATTTCAAGTTAAGGAATTTTCAAACGTAGGAATTTCAAGTTAAACCATTTTCAAGCGTAGGAATTTCAAGTTAAACAATTTTCAAGCGTAGGAATTTCAAGTTAAAAAAATTTCAAACCTTGGAATTTCAAGCTAAAAAATTTTCGATCGTAGGAATTTCAAATTAAAAAATTTTCAAACATAGGAATTTCAAGTTAAACAATTTTCAAGCGTAGGAATTTCAAGTTAAAAAATGTTCGAACATAGGAATTTCAAGTTAAAAGTTTTCAAACCTTGGAATTTCAAATTAAGAAATTTTCAAATATTGGAATTTCAAGTTAAAAAATTTTCAAATCTAAGAATTTGAAATATAAATAAATTTAAAAAATGCAAAAGAAAATTTTTACGAGTGATTTTCATATTAAAGAAGAATCGAAATTATTCTTACTAAGGCAAAATTTTAAGTGTCGTGTAGCTCGGGTGTATCGATACATCGCTCCTATACAACTCAGGATACAATTTCATGTGTTTCGTGATGTATTTTCTGACACGCGGTTTCGTTTCAGTCTTCTCTGCTTCTGGTATATCTATACGAGGTTTTTGTTCTTCATTCAAAGCCTCTTCAGTTTCATTTTCTTTAGTTTCTTCTACATTTTCCGTTTGAGCTTCGGTAGCCATTACGACGAATGTTTAATAATAACCTTAAAAATAATTCTAACTTATCAATAATGATTAATCAAATTTAACAAACTATAGAACGTGGACAATATGATCGAGAAGTAATTGTATAAATTCATTTATTTATCAAATATGGTTTTACTATTTTTTTGTCATTTCTGTAAATTTTATTTTTTTCTTTTTTTTTTTAATGGATGATAAAATGTTTAATATGATCAAAAGGTTGTGGCAAATTCATTTACGTAATATATTTTTACTCTTGTTTGCAGATGACACTTCAAATGTTTTGAATAAAATTTAACAAACTCAGTGCACTAATCTGCCAAAAAAAATGACAGAAACTCGTTTATTTATGAAACATATTTTTCTCCCATTTCAAGATATTTCCATTTTAATACCTCTCAAATCTTTGTCCTTCAACGAAAATTACCAAAATTTATCACAAAATTGAAATGAACCTAGAATTTGAAATTTAGATATACGCGAAACAAAAGAATTAAAACAAAAAGTTAATGGATAAAACAATCATTAAATACACAAATTTTAATCTATGTCAGAATTAAAATTGATTAGAGTTCAAACTATATTATTGATACTTTTTCCAACGATTAGATGTTAGTTTAATTTAATTAATTAATCGATCGATATTAAATTACCGGTTTTCCGAAGAGTTCCGTGTAAGTTATTCGGATTTAGTTAGAATTCGTTACGGAGAGACATAAAGAACGTAACGTTCGCGATCATCGCGAAATTCAAACTGGAGGGCTTTTTAATCGGCAATTCAGTTCGCGTGAAGGAATTGGCCAACGAATGCGGCTCGTCCCTTCTATTCGTTGATCCGACGAAAGTTGGCCGATCTGTAACGAAGTGAGCCCCTGTACCTCGTACGGCTATCGATTTGGTTTCCAAGTGAATCAATAGAGAGATTTGGTTTATTCAAGTTCCGATGTATTACCAGTATGTACCCGCAGAGACCAGTGAACTTACCACGCGACCATTAACCTATGCTAATTAACCAGCTGCCAGTTGATTACGCTGTAATCTCAGAAATTTGCTAACGGAATAACCTGATGCGAACATGAGAAACGATCTATTTACTTCCATTTTGTTTGGTGTGCAATTACTAGATTCATGTAATGAACGAACAGATTTAATGTATTCGAATTTATACAAAAATGTATTGAGTTATTATATCTATTTTTGTGTGTTTATCAGGAGTTTTTAGGTGGGAGTTTGTTTTGGGAAGGGGTTGGGGGTTTGTACGTTTGGAGTTCGGGGATTTGGGAAGTGGGGATGTGGTAATTTTGGGGTTTGGATGTTAGGAGATTTGGTAATTTAGGGATTTGGGGATTTGGGGGGTCAAGGATTTCGTTAGAGGAAGGTTTGAGAATTTGGGGGTTTGGAAATTAGGAGATTTGGGAACTTGGAGGGTTGGAAATTAGGAGATTTGGAAGTTGGGTGATTTGGTAATTTAGGGATCTGGGAGTTCAAGGATTTCGTTAGAGACAAATTTTAGAATTTGGGGGTTTTGAGATTAGGAAATTTGAAAACTTGGGGGGTTGGAAATTTAGGGATTTGGGAATTTAAGGATTTGGGAATATAGGTATTTAATAATTGGTAGATTTCAGAATTTGGGGGTTTGGAAATTAGGAGATTTGGGAATTTGAGGGGTTGGAAATTAGGAGATTTGGTAATTTAAGGATTTGGAAATTAGGAAATTTAGGAATTTGAGGGGTTGGAAATTAGGAGATTTGGAAATTAGGAAATTTAGGAATTTGGGGATTTAGTAATTGGTAGAATTGAGAATTTGGAGGTTTGGAAATTAGAAAATTTGGGAATTTAGGGATTTGAAGATTAGTACATTTGGAATGGGAAGATTTGGAAATTAAGGGATTTGGTAATTTGTAGATTTGTGAATTTGGGGATTTCAACATTACAAGATTTGGAAATGTACAGATTTTAAAACTGAGAGATTTGAAACTTTAAGGAGTAAGAAATTAATTGATTTAGGGGTTGCTGTATTATATGCTTTAGGGATGCAACAATTCGAAGATTTCGAAAATTAGGGATTTGCGAATTTAGGAATTTAGAAACTTTAGCATTCAGAAGTTCAGTGACTAAGCAATTGACAAAATTAATTAAATAATTTAAATAATTAAAAAATTTATAAATTTGGTGATGACATGGACCTTCAACAATCTGACGATTTAATGATTTATGAATTTACAAGTTTAAATATTTTGAAATGAAAATTTGTGAATTCGGGTATTTAACAATCAAAGAATTTCGAAATCACTTCAAATGTCCAAAGAATTTCAGATCAGTCCTGATTTGAAAATCAGTCGAAAAATTAGTAACAAATATAGAACTATAGAAATTAGTATAATTATAGAAATTTGCAAACTTAAACCAATTAATAAAAGAATTCTTCCATCCATGTATCATAATCACGATCATATTTCACCAAGAGATTGCGAATTTAATTAACGTCTACCAAGCATACTTCACAGAAACTACAAAGACATCATCGCGTGCTATTGTTCAACTAAATGAACTCAGATCACGAAGGATATTTACTAAGAGAACAGTTATTCATATCAAGGAAGAAGAGTATCGTATACTCCTCTCAGACTCGTTAAAAATTACAATTACATTATAATTACAGGACATGTTACTTAAACTTAATTACAGCATCGATTAAATTACGCGTGCAACATGGTCTATTTAATAGCTATGCGTTAATAAACTATAGTAGACCATCGATTGCGTTAAACTTTCAAAACAATGCATAACTGGTTCTCAAAAATCAAATTTCCCTTGTGTAATTGGTATCATAGTTAATCACTGCTCACCGAGCGTTCAAGGTGTTTCGATTAATTTAGCGGGGAAAATTGTGATGGCGAGGGTAATGAGACTCTAAGTGGAAGATTGGAATATCGAGGTTTAACTTTTTGATTGCTGAAGACAAAATATAGCAATAGTTGTATAATAAAATAATTAATTTAATATAACATATATAGTTAAAATACAGTATATGTATTTTACAGATGTTAAAATTTGTATATTAATCAATTGTCAGCCAAAGGGGAGTGAGAGGGTTGCTCGTTGTGTATTTTAATTAGACTTCGTGATTTCTAAAATTTTAGACTTCAAAAATTCCTGAGATCTCAAGTTTCCAAATTCCTGAGATCTCAAGTTTCCAAATTTCTGAGATCTCAAGTTTCCAAATTCCTGAGATCTCAAGTTTCCAAATTCCTGAGATCTCAAGTTCCCAAATTTCTGAAATCTCAAGTTTCCAAATTCCTGAGATTTCAAGTTTCCAAATTCCTGAAATCTCAAGTTTCTTTTCTGAGATCTCAAGTTACTTTTCTGAAATTTCAAGTTTCCAAATTTCTGAGATCTCAAGTTTCCAAATTTGTATGGTTTCAAGGTCTATATGTTCCAAATACTCAAAATTCTAAGATCTCAAAGCCTGAAGTTCTAAAATTCCAAGTTTCCAAGGTTTCAAAGTTCTAAAATTCCAAAACTTCCAAGTCCCAAATCAGAAATTATCAGAGTTTCAGTATCAAAGCTTCAAAGTCCCAAAATCTTGAAGTCTCAAGTATCCTAATGTTCCAACATCTCAAAGTTCCAACGTCCAAAGAATCCAAAAGTTCAAATGTCCAAAAATCGTGAAATTCCAAAGATCACAAAGTCCCAAAGTCCCAAATTGAAAAGCTTCCAAAACTCGAAACTCCCAATGTCCCAAAATCCTGAAATTCCAAACGTCCCAAAGACCTAAAATTCAAGATTGAAATACTTCCAAAACTCGAACCCATCAATCTCCCAAAGTCGTGAAATTCCAAAGGTCCCAAAGACCTCAAATCCCCAATAAAATCTCCCAAAACGCAAAACAACGTCCCAAAAATGAGCCAACCCGAAAGGTCAACCGAAGTCCACACTTCGCCACTCTGCATTTGTGCATTTTCACCCGATGTAATGGCTGAACATCAAAGACGATATAAATAGATCGCATCGTAGAGAAAAACAGTTTACAGCCACTATCAGTGATTTTCGGTTGAGCTGCGATAGGGTTAACAGGTTAATTCCGTTGCGCACGCGTGGTGAGGGTTGCAACGAATAAGACAGCAAGCACAACGGAAGGAGCATCGTGCGGTCCGCAACAACCATGCTCGAATTTATTGATATTTCCCGGTGGCGGAGCGAGACGTTCCATGTTCGGGCAGTTCGCAGCGTCGAGAGGGTGCGAGGGAGACAAGCGAAGTCGAGCAGAGGGTGCGCCAAGGGGTGTCTCGTCACACCCGCATGTTCAGTCCTCAGGGTGTACAGCTGATCGTCGGTTCCGAGACCCTGTGCCAAGGTGATCGCACATGTCGAGTGATCCACGGAAAATCTGACAGGATTAACGTCGATCATGTCCGCGATGTTACGGTGATCCGGTTGTTTCTGTACCACTCCTCCCCCACCCTCTTCTCGGATGCTGAACACGGGAACTATGTGGTGTGAATCTGTTCGTTTCGTCGACCTCTCGTTCACGTAATCGCCGAATGTCGGACGTCGCGACGCCAAAGAACGGTGAACCTGAAGACGCGGATAGGACTGGCTCGACAGCCGTAGCATAGGCCGCTGTTCGCGACAGGCTCGTATAATGGCCAACGAAAAGATACTTAAACCGTACAGGTGCGTGCCTACTCGATGTCTTAACCCTTTCAGACCTTCCCGATTATAGGAACTACTCGACAAACGGATCAATTACTACGAATTTTCTACTGATCGCCTTACGCTAAGTTCTGGATTGTGCCACTGACATGCACCTTGTGTCGCAATAATTCGATTTACTTCGGTTTAGTACATAGTTTCTTTTTAATATTTACTACATATATAATATTCAGTTTTACTATTAATTATATATATAATATTCATTTGTACCATTAACTATATTTACAGTATTTATTTTATTTTTACCATTTACTACATTTTCGTATTTATTTTTCTTTTACTATTTACTACATCTATCGTATTTATTTTTCTTTTACCATTTACTACATCTATGGTATTTATTTTTCTTTCACCATTTACTATATCTGTAACATTTACTTTGTTTGCATCCTTTACTACAACTACGGTATTTATTTTCCTCCATTTACTATATCTGTGATATTTATTTTCCTTCTACTATTTACTACATCTGTAACATTTTATTTGTACAATCCACTGTACCTACAATATTTACTTACCTTTATTATTGCAATTTATTTCATGTTACATTTATCTCATTTTTATTAGTTATCGTGTTCATTATATTTATTCTGCCTTCACTGCTTATATTTATTCTGTATCCACTTCTCATTATACTTGTTTCATCTTCACTGTTTATTCTATGAATACTCACTTTGTTTTCGCTTGTATTTTGTTCTTAAATTTGAGAAATAATGATGTGCGCTGAAAGGGTTAACCCTTACGGTCCTCCGACTCTTTTCACTTATCACATTCACCTAGAAATGAATGTGAATGTAGATGTTAATACATTTAAAATTATTTTAAACATTCGACGTTTCTTTGATAAAATTTTTAAAGCTTCATAGATTCCTGTGTGTTAATAAAAACTCGTGGTCTTCCAAAGACAATTCTCACAAAAATTGTTACACAGTCTTTGAAAGACTATGAGAACGCATAAGGGTTGACAAACTAACCTATAGATAGTTTAAGTAATTATAACAAAGTATTATTTAGTCTATTTAAGTTAATAAGCTTAGTAAAAGAGATCATTTAGCAATTAATTTTTAATTTAGTAGTTATAGTTTAAAGATCAACTAGTCAATAGTAATAACGTCCTTCAAATGCGTTTGTTTTGAAGGACTTCTTCGACAATGTTTACATCAATATTTTTCATCGACAGGTAATTCCACAGGATCTTTGTCCCAGGTATTGTCTAGTCTTAATTGGCATTCATAGACTTCCATTGTACATATCTTACATCGAAGTTCAAACGCTTCGTTTGAGACAATTATGTTCTGTTACTGGCACATAGTAATGCATATTTGTCTCGCTGCGAGCGATCATGCATTCACTAGCGAAATCTCTGCATGATGAATGTAGACTTCACCTAGTTATAGAAATAGAATTCGCAAAACGTAGATGAATCGTTTCTTTAAAATCGTGCAGCGTTGATGTAAACATTGTTGAGGGAATCTTTATTGATTAAGCTAAGCGGATTTGTAGCTTAAGTTACCGAGATACCCTTATGGGGTTCGCTCTAAGGTTCTTCAAGGTTTCCGGGATTTAAAGATGGAGCTTGGAGTACTTAGGTTGACAAGTTCAAAATCTTAGAGTTGAAAAATTTCGAACTTACAAGATAGTTGGAAAGTTCAGAAACCTCAAGTTCAAATACCAGTTTCAAAGTTTCGAAGTTCAAGTTGTAATAACAAAGTTATTATTCTAATAACAAAGTTTGACAGTTCATGTCTTAATAAAAGAAGCTTTAGTGTCTGAATTTATTGAAGTCAAAATTTAGATCTTCAGATTCAAAACGTCAAATCCTAAAATGTCAAATCTTGAAACCAGAGTTGCTTTACAGAATGAGTCCAAAAATTCTCAGAAGTGCTGAAAGTGTAAAAAGCTCCAAGTTCACAAAAGAAAGTTATATCACCGTCGTTGTAAATGTAATATAATTTGTTATTAAGACTGTAAAAGAGTAAAATGTAACTAGCTATTTGCGGATGATCATTTAAATGACGATCAGAACGAACCACGAAGCCGCTGTATAAAGAAGCACCTGAAAGACTTCGATTTGTGTGGCGATCTTGTTAAGAATTCTATAATTGTTGCTTGATAAATTCAAATGACATAGATAATACATTTCTTACGAATAATCAATCTGGTAGTTTTGCCAGATTAACTGTGGGCTATTGATAAAAGATAAATTGTATTTTGTTTATTGATAAATATGAAACAGAGTGTCTTTGCAATTGTTCAATCTTCGGTACATAATTGTAAGTTTAAGATACTTGAAATGTATTTATCTTTTATTGTCAATCAATATTTCAACATGCATCAAGATTTTACACATCACTTTTTCATATATTGTTAATCTTGATATTTTATATGCAATAGTAAGTTTAAGAGATATTTGAAATGTATTTATAATTTATTACAAATTATATCATTTTTATAGAAATAATATTTTTATACAAATATTAGAAGCTGGGCATCTAGAAATGTATTCATCGTTTACTATGAACTTCACAATTTTTATAAACATAATATTTTTATAAAAATATTAGAAGCTACTCAGCTACCTTTTAACCTAATTTTCCATAAAGACAATAACCAAAATTGACCACAAAAACGACATATCAAATATCTCTTCAATAATATCTAATCTCTCGCTTTGTCTTTTAGTCAATGAATATTTTTTTACAAACGAAGCGGTAAAATAATTGCCCTAATTACTGGACTCTGATAAGAGGATCCCTAACAATAATTAGCAAACTTATAACAGTGCAAAATGATTATTTTTTGAAGAACAACGTTACCAGTTCCGGGTCATTCAGAAGTAAATCTTTGCTCGGTGTTATCACTGGGCAAGGATCTCAGCAAAATCACTATGCCCGTCATTTTCAACGAGCCGCTTTCTTTTCTGCAACGCGTCGCCGAGTACATGGAGTATGCGAAGCTGCTGAAGCAGGCTGCCCAAGAAGAGACTCCTGTCAGAAGGCTACAGGTAAATTTTATTCCAGCAACATCAAATATTTAGTTCCAGACGAAAACGAACTGTGTTATTGATCTTTGGTTCAGTATGTCGCTGCTTTTGCTGTGAGCGCTTTGGCATCGAACTGGGAAAGACTTGGCAAACCGTTTAATCCGATTTTGGGAGAAACGTACGAACTGGAACGCGAGGACTTCCGGTACGTGTCTGAATCTTTTATATAAGACTGGTATCAGATATCTGATGGTAATTAAATTTACTGCACGCTCACCATTTGAACGGTTTATTGAATCCATTAACTTAAGGCGACATTGCAAATATTCTACCAATAATTTGGTAAAACTTGTTCAATTTTAGTCTTTCTTAAACTCTGTCATAGTTGTGTGGTTCTGATTAAAATAATATTATGTAAAATATATTTTGATTGTGTACACTTATTTTGAAGGTTAAAGAAAATTATTCAAAATGTACAATTTTGTTTGATTTATTATTCAAATTATATAAAATGTAAGAGTACCAAATTGGTTGATGAATATTCTGCAGTGTAAGGTTGTTTTAAATAAAGGTTTTATGTTTACTGATTTATTTGACAGTATATTTTACAATTGTTACTGCAGAATAGTTTGCGAGCAAGTTTCCCATCATCCACCGGTGTCCGCCTTCCATGCAGACAGCGAGGACTTTGTTTTCCATGGCAGCATACACCCTAAATTAAAATTCTGGGGAAAATCGATAGAGGTGCATCCAAAAGGCATTGTCACGGTGGAACTTCCCAAGTGAGTACACGATTTACAATGCATTCGAAATAATGGGAATGCTTGTCATAGATACGCATCTTTTTCATTAGCGCGATGAATGCGGCTAAAAATAAGCATGTTTATCGGAACACGTGGTGAGAGTTATGAAGCGTTCGATGTGATGGTGGGTTTGGAAATTTGAAAATTTGTGGATGGAGGATTTTAGGAATTTGGGAGATTAGGAAGTTGGGAATTTAAGGATAGGGAATTGTGAGGGGTTTGTGAAATTGGGGATGTGGGGACTTGGAGATTGGAGAGGTTAGGAAATTTGGGATATGGGAAATTTGGGGATGAAGGGATTTGAGGATTTGGAAGTTTGGGAGATTGGGAATTTGAGGATTTAGAGGTTTGGGAGATTGGAGATTTGGAAATTTGGGAGTTTAGAGGTTTGATGACTTGAAAATTTAGGAGTTTGATATTCAAGGATTTGAAGATTCGGAGATTTTGGGGGATTTGAAGATTTGGAGATTTGAGACCGTGATGATTTGGAAATTTAGGATTTGAGAATTTAGGGACTTGACAATTTGGGGGTTTAGCGGTTTGGTGACTTGAAAATTTAGGGATTTGAGAATTTGGGGGTTTTAGGGTTTGGTGACTTGAAAATTCAGGGGTTTGAGAATTCAGGAATTTGAAGATTTGGGGATTTGTGGGTTTGGAGGTTTAGTGATTTAGACATTTAGGGGTTTAGAGATTTAAGGATTTAAGGATTTAGGGGTTTGGTGGTTTGATGACTTTGAAATTTAGAGGTTTGGTGACTTAGACATTTAGAGGTTGAGACACTTGGAGATTTGGGAATTTAAGGATTTGAGGATGTGAGGATATGAGGATATGAGGATTTGGGGGTTTTGTGGTTTGGTGACTTGGAAACTTAGAAGTCTAGGGACTTAAGAATGTAAGAAAATTCTGGAAAATTCGAGAATTTGAAGGGTTAAGAAGATAGGGATTAGTTGATCTTAGACTTTCATAATTTGGGAATTTAAGGATTTGAAAATTAAGAAATTTAAAAGACTACAAAACTTGCAATTTAGAAAACTTTGAAAGTTCCTAATAACTACACATTGTATCCTCACGCGTTCTATAACCACACGCTGTATTATCGCACATTACGAATTTCTCAGTAGATGCGTCAGTCAGAACTCCTTAATTATTACTGTAGCGTTAAGGTAAATAAAGAATATTAAAATATTAAGTATATTTTGGATTTATCGATCATTAATTATACAAACTGCAATTGGTCATAGTCAAAACTCGATCTCCATGCAAATACAATCTACATTGAACTGCAACGTGCGTCACAAGCCTGACTCGATGTTATAGTTCAAGAGGTTAATATTGTGATAGTGCGTTATAGAACGCAACGTATTGAATTTCACTCAACATCGTCAACTACCCCATAAACTACCACAAAGTCAATACAGTCGAATAAATATCAATGTCATCGCACACAATCACCAAATACAAAATACTTAAAATAGTTTCCCTCTGTCCTTCTACGACATAACATTAATTTTTCCCTCGAAGATGATATCTTGTAAAACAGTTACAAAGTAAACGACGCGAATCGTGTATGCAGATGGAAGGAAGCGTACACTTGGCAGAACATCAACTGTATACTTCATAACGTGCTCGTGGGTCAATTATGGATGGAGCAACTCGGCTCTCTGGAGATCAAACAAAGCGGAGGAGCAAACTTGAAGGCGTCTCTATCTTTCAAGAGCGCCAGCTGCAACGGCAAGGATCTTCACCGAGTCGAAGGCTTCATAACGGATCAAGAGTAAGCTGGTAACAGTTTATCATCACTTGAATTTGATAACTATTGTCCTTTCATCCTGAATATCCTGATAATCTTTCTTGCAAGACATTCTTAATGACGAGGATTGAATAATTTATTTTGCATTTGTTTCATTGTTCAAGTTTCAGTTTTATTTAAGTTTCTAGCCTTGTAAGATTTCATTTTTGTAATATAAAGATGATTTTGTTAGCATTGTTGGTACTGATTGGGTTTTTAGATCTTTTTAATTGTTTTGAAATTGAAATTTTAACTTCTTTTTGTAGTTTGAAGGTGATAGTAATGGTAGAAGGTAATGGTTCTTCAAAATGGAGGGTGTTCGATAAAACTGATCTAATCGTCCAAACTTAAAGTACTAATATAAGTTTTAATTACAATCTAAATTAGAGCACCAATGTAATGTGATGTAAGATAAAATTAAGATATAAATTGCAATATTAAATTAAAACTGAAATCTGAATTAAAACTAGCTTAAGGTTAAAATTTAAATTGTAGTTAAGTTAAAATTAAAATCTAAATTAAAGCTAAATTAATTTAAAATCTAAATGAAAAGTAAGTCAAGGTTAAACTCTAAATTAAAACCCCTTGCATTAAAAATTAAATCACAATTACTTTGCAGGATTACAAGAAAATAAATAATGTATTTTCGCTAACAGAAAGCGGAAGCTGTTGTTCCTTTACGGAAAATGGACGGAGCGGATGAAGGTCTGCGAGCCATCTTTGTACGAGGAAGCTTTGGAGAAGGTGAAACGAGAAGCGAAAAGTCCTCAAGGAAGTCCAGGACACAAAAAAGTATTAGCGAAATTGCACAGTTTAAAAGTCGGAGCGTTTAAACCTTCTCACCAGGTATTGCAAATATTATTGCTTCATTCATACTAGATTGTCAATAATTCAATTCAAAGCCGTTTGAAGAACACGAAAACAATAGTGCTTTTCTTATACCACAGGAAATTAAGTCTTTTTTTTAATTACAATTTGATAAATTAATCTCTTGCGCCATTCATTGAAAGCTTTATTTTCCACTTGACATTCTGTTACTTTTTTTAGCTGATCTTTTAAGATGCAATGTATATGTAGATGGTTTTATGTTAGCTCTATTTATATGTACCTTCATTCATTAAAGCGCTGCATATTCATCAACACTTCTCTCTAATGAAAGCTCATCCTGAAAGTGTATTCAGAATATTAACGTTACATTTTTATTTAATTTTCGTACATTTTATTCAATTTCTATATAATTCGTGCTTTCTTCAAATTTCTATACATTTCTTTAAACTTTATTTCGTTAGACTTCCATAGGTAAATTTTTCTGGGATTTTGAATATTAATTAAATTTTCGTAAGTTTTTGTAAACTGTTTTAGATCTTCTTAACATTTAAGCAAATATTTTAAGTTTGTAATTATTCGACGAAAATTGAAGATAAAATCGTTCATAAATTTCTTTCAGAAAATATTTTTAATTAATAATTAAATTAATAAATTTTTGTATTATTCAAGGATGCAATTGAAGATCCATCTGCAAGTATAGATGGAGAAGATGTTCCAACGATCGATGATATTCCTGGATCCGTCACTCTGTGGGAAGCTTCTCCAAGGCCACCTAATAGTTCAGAGGTAAAATCAATTTCCTTTTTCTAATTATCCTAAATTATTTCGACGTCAAAAATCACTATAATACCTTCAAATATAAAACTCACCATAAAGCTTTAAACATTCTCTAAATATCAAAAATAATTGATGACTATAAATACAATTTTTTGTGTCACCAAAAAAAATTATTGTCATGACTTGAATAATAGTGAGTAAAATTTTATACACAATATTTATCTGATTTAAAATTAATTAAAAAATATCATAGTTATTAAGTAATACAATTAACAAAGAAATATTGAAATCGATAAGTAAAAAAATTAATTAAAAAATATTGATGTTATTAAGTCACACAATTAATAAAGAAATATTGAAATTACGTCAATTTAATTTCCAGTATTACCAGTTTACAACGTTTGCAATGTCGTTAAACGAGCTAACGCCGGAAATGGAAAAGGTATTATGTCCGACTGACTCGAGATTAAGGCCAGATATCAGGAAATTGGAAAATGGCGATCAGGATGGTGCAGCGAGTGAAAAATCAAGGCTCGAAGAAAAGCAAAGAGAATCGCGAAAAGCTCGAAAGCACAAGAAGGGCCAAGAATGGACGCCAAGGTACTGAATTCAATTAAAAGATTAAATACTCAAACTCAAACTCAATATAAAATTTTTATCCAAACTTCATTTTAAAGATTTGTAAATTCAAAGAATTTCAAATTCAAACATATAAATAATAAATTCATATTTATATTTCAAAGATAAATTTAAAAATTGAAGAAGTATACCTGACACAGGTGATCTTCTTGCATCAATTACCATAATACATAATCTAAAGAATTTCAAATTCAAACATACGAATAATAAATTCATATTTCAAGTTTATATTTCAAAGATAAATTTAAAAATTGAGAAAGTATACCTAACACAGGTGATTTTCTTGTATCAATTATCATAATATTAAAAGAAGAATGCATAATACATCAACTTCTTATTATCGTATTTAACATTTCCTTACAAAATTGAATAAATTTTTCAGAGAAAAATTAATTCGATATGTTGCCGTTTCACTAATAATCATTTTAACGATATGCAGTTACGTTGAAGTGTACAGTATGCAAATTTCTGATGCACCACAGGTGGTTCCAATTAGGCATTAATCCATACACGGGTCAAGAGGACTGGCTGTACCAAGGAGGATATTGGGACCGCAATTACGTCAATATGGAAGATCTATTTTAATAAATGTGCAGATCTTAAGCGATACGGTAACAAGTATTAAACAATTGCAAAACGCAAGCTCGCATATTCAAGCGAAGAGTTCATACAAGTTATTGGTACATCGTATGAACAAATTGTTCGAATTTATTTATTCATATTCTTTGTCTTCCTATTATTTCTACACACTCAAGTTCATTATCTTCCCATAACTTAAATATTATAAACAAATACGTACTAAATTTTAAAAATGTAAACGTAAAAAACTGTCCATGGAAATGAAGAGAAAGAAGCAATTTTATTTTTGTAAAACGCAAATGTTCTGTTCGAAAAAAACGAGTACTAACTGTATGAATCATGCTGAGGAATCATGTGAGTCTCCGAGACAATTAGATGCGAAACTTTTGTACAACGTGCAGCTTCAAACGACACATCGTGTGTTTTATACAGGTTTTTCAGTTACGACATGTGTAATGTAACGTGATAAATTTATTTTTATTGATGAGACAATTTATGCTAATTGTTCGTGCTGGCAAACACTGGTATTTTTAGTTAATAACTTATCTACGAAAAATGGATTCAGCTATTTTAATTATTTTAAACGTTTCTCTATTCTTTATATAAGAAACTGCTAAGAATGCTAATTTATTGAACAAATTGATCGAACGTTACATTATTCATGTATGTACCCTTATCCACTAAATGGTTTAACACGTTTGCTATCACAAAGGAACATGTGTTATAAGATATACACTTGCAATTATTTGAAAAATAATTATTTTATTTTTGAATTTAATTCTTCTGAAATCATATTACGTATTTTATTAGATTTTTCTAATTTCAAAGGTAAAGATCATTTCTTCCTTTATGATAAATTTCATTAGAAATACCTAACCTACAAGCTACTAAACCTAACCTACAAATTACCAAACCTAACCTACAAACTACCAAACCTAACCTACAAACTACCATAAAATAATATTAATATTCCACAAAAGTTGCTTATACTGAATTACTGAATTTCTCTCCCACAATTTTACAATAATTAAATTAACTCATCTCGACAGCCAACGTGCTAAACCGATCTTTTGCCGAAACCTTCTTTCCGAACAAACTAATACACCGTAAGCTTACGCCTCGTAGCTGAATTTCGTATGCAGGTCGTACGTGCGTATCTCTTTTTAGAAAATTAAACTCGAAAGCTCCTTCGAGCGGAACCGAGTAATCTTAGAAATTAAACGGTCGCGAGAAACACGAACTTCCGTCTCCTCGAAGCTCTAATTCTGCACAGAGCTGATGGAGAATCGTAGATAAGAAAAAAGCCTAGAATTCGATGTGTAAAATCTGTAACGACGTGTGTACCGTTTTCTCGCGTCGTAAAACGCTGTGAAACACTTGGGTTTCACGGACGACAATTAAGCACGAAGTCCATCCGTTAGTTGACACTTTCCTGTACATACCGTGGAAAAATACCGCCGTGGATTTTTTATAACACACACGTACACGAGGACACACAGACAACAGGACAGATATGGCGAGGCGATCATTTCCGCTCGATTTCCTTACGAAAACGTCTCTGGTGAAAATTTGGGCGGATTGAAAATCTTTGATCATAATATTGTGTTATGGGATAATTCGGGGATAATTAAGGACGGGTGGGCTGCAACTGAAACTTTTGAAACCACGACGGTATTGGTAAAAATTGAAAGCCTTGTAGTTTTATTTCGAAGAAGTTTTCACAGCGAATACTACACGACTAGTTTACAAAAATAATTTATTATAAAAGAAACAATGAACTTCACGTCTCTCAAATTCATGTTACCTAAACCACTGTCAGAAACTAACCAAACATCATAAAAATATTAATAATTACTGATTGAAAATATTTTGTCGTCTCTTCAGACAAGATTTTCGAATCTGACTACATTTAATCAGCATAATATAATTATAATACAATTGTATTAATTTTTGAAAGAAAATAAAAAGTCACCAAAATGACTAACTTAGAAATTGTTGATGATTTTCGAATATTTAAAAATTTTGAAACGAGAATTGAAAAATCCGCCTAATTTTCACCGAGGTTCGAAAGAGACGCATCTTTCTCACACATGTTCGTTTTTACGATTACGCGTAGCCACGAGATCTCTTCTGACACTATTTTTATAAAAAGATGAAAGAGAAGAAGAAATCAGGCTGGTCGAACGCGAAGCCGATGTCTCCCTTCCGAGTACTGATACATTAGCTTGATAATAGGTTTCTGTACATACAGTGACTGTACTATATACTTGTATCTAGATGTAATGATTGAAAGTGATGAGCAACCCTTTCTTTCGGGCCCAGTAAACGGGCTGAAAAGGGCAGGCTGGAATAACGAATAATACACATAATACATTTAAAGAAAATAAATGAACATACAGTTTAAAACATACAGACGCTTTGATGGAATATTTAGCAACAAATTTTTCGATATCAATAAATGCGAGCTGTGTAGGATTTTTAAATCTCGAGATTTCGGATTCGATCGGAAATGTTCGGGCGAGGTCGGGTGACACGTGGTACGCACCTAACCTAACCGAGAGCGGTGTCTTTCTGAACAAAATGGCGCTAATGTTAACTGGGAGAAATTCCATGTTTACTCGATTATATTTTAGTTAATTAAATTGTATTGTTACTATAACATAAATCGAACATCCTCTCGAGCCCACTACGTCCGACTATTTCTGATCCAATCGTTTTCGTATAATCAGACGTTTCTGATCACATTATATCAATCGCATGTTACCGAAGTTGTGATGTTTTATAATTTTCAATGTTGAAACTCGTACGAAAATATGTGTTACCAAGTATATATGTTATCTACCTGGTACGATTAGCCAGATTTTTCTGACGGAAAGTCATGAAACGATTTTGATACGGTGTATTGTTTTATAGCTTCGTGGTGTTGGATGTAAAAATTTGTTCGAGGATGGGTCGCAGGTTTGCTCATCACTAATTTAGGGCAATTTTACGCACGGGAAGATTAGCGGCCAAAATAGTGGCTAAATTAGCTCAAAAACTCTGCAACCAGGCATCGAACGAGCAATATTAGTTATCGTTGCTGTTTTCGTAAGATCATTTCACGTCACTTTCGTCGGCTTTTCTAAATTTTTTAGAACTGTTTCTATTTGGAGGCGAAGAACCGGTGACCCTCAATTTCTCTTTTAACCTTTGCGCTACTAACGATAAGGAAATAAATCAAAGGAAATAAATATAATACCAGAGTTGCATCTTCATTCAGTCGAGCACTGCTGTAGCGAAAGGGTTAAACGAATGGTAGATCGCTTGACCGAAAACCAGAGAGCAAATGGCGTGCAGTGTTGAGCACAGTGTGTCAATGTGAAAATTTGGAAATTTTTAATTTCTACATTGCTCAATTTTTACGTTCGATAAATTTGTATTCCTAAATTTCTAAATTGTCAAATCTTACAATTTTAGGATTTTTAAGTTGATTTCTAAATTTAACAAATTGTCAAGTTTCTAAATTCCCAAGGTCCCAAATTTAAGAATCTGATATTTCTATATAAGAATTAAATTTCAAGGTTTCTAAATTTAAGAATTTGAGTGGTTTTTAAATTTCCAAGTTTCCACGCCTCATCGCTGCACCCATCGATCTGTCCATCAGATATAAACCATATTTGATACTCAATGGTGCCAAGATTAATGGTTAACATGCTAATTGCTTCTCCAACGTATATCACGTACACAGAAATTTCTGCCAGCTACACTCGTAATCCATAGAACTTAGTTCGGCTTATCGTTAGCTTGTAAGCGTCAGCCGATCGCGTTAGTGATCGCGATCTATTCACGATTCATCTATAAGCGAAACTACGTGGACATTTAGGCCAGTACGAGATCATCGCTTCTGAGAAGCTGAGATTCATCAAATTTTAGAGTTTACGATCATCTAAGTGTGTTGCTTCGTAGACGATCACGCGTCGGGCTTTCAATGAAACACCGATTATTAAGTGATAATTGATAGGTGTACGTGTGTATTCCAAATATATAACTACATTACGTGAAACAGTTACACGTCATTCGTTTTACGTTCTTCTTCTTCATTTTTCGTACCTGATTTTTGTTGAGAGGAAAGAGAACCCAAATCGAAAGTGGTACGAGAGTAATCGTTAAAAAATAATGTGATACATAAACTGATAAATTGTTACTTTCGTTTGCTCAATTTAGATTGTAAAATCTATGATTTTTTATTAGAGATCCATCCATCATTGTATGCATAATTGTTATTGATAAACATTAAATACGAAGTTACAGCACACAAATGTGAGATAGAACCCAATAGTCTTAACGCAAAGTAAATGCAATGTATAGATTGTACACATAATAGGAATTGACTTGTGCGCAATAAAGAAACATCTTTACGCTTCCGATGATGTTTTTTGACGATCGTCCTACATCCATCACGAGTTGTCATTAATTATTAAGCACAGGATAGATGTATTCCGGGGGAAAACGCCAATAATGTCTAGAAGAACATCGGGCTCTCGTGCTGTAGAATTATATTTGCGTTGCATAGACGAGTGTATGTATCTGTACATAGATATGTAGATATTAGAAATAAATGTTGTAAAGAAAGACTGTTGTTAACATTCTACGTAATTATCTTTATTGATCCTTGTCAATTTTTTTAAAGAAATTATTTTATGACAGATAGTATTTTTCTATTTGAAAATCAAAGAATTTTTCGTTCATTACAAAATTACTTTTGTATTTATTGTATTTTAATTAATATTTGATCAGATAAAAGATAACAGTGTGATGTGCATGAATTAATAAATCGTCAAGCGGAGGAAAATTAATGTCTTGAACTGGCGCCACAAATTCAAATGAAACTTTGCGCGCGCTTTAGTTCGGCGACTGCCGAGCGATGGCGTAGTCAGCCGACAATTCGCAATATGGCCGCCGCGCTGTCCGACAGAAGCGATTTGGAAGGAATCGATCTCGGTTCGGTAGCGGAGAACACGTCACAGTGTCAGTTTCGAAAGTTCTCGCGGAAAACTCTGTGCATATCATTGTTTCGTTGATTAATCGCGAGTGATTGATTGTGTGCAAGCGAAAGAAAACAACGTTCTAGGCGTGTCTATTCGACAAAATGAGCAACGTACCAACAGGTGAGATCATTGACGCCACTTTTTTATTTTACTCTACCGACAACGTATCTGATGTTTGCGGCATGACACGTTGTCCCCTTGAAACGCGATTCCCGTTCGCAATAATATCGTTCCAGGAAAATTATTCGGGAAACAATGTCGATATTAGTCACACGTTCACGTTCTAACCTATGCCAATTTTTTTTTCGATCGCTCACATTTCGAATAACCTTTAAAACTTTTCGTGTCACTTATCGCATACGATGATATGCGATCGATCTTACGATAATCGAAATATCGTGAAATTTCGCGATATACTTTGAATGTAGTTTTCACACTAAAGGTTAATTTTTACGTAACCGATTATTATGCTACGGTTATCCGGAGATAGTATTCTAACGGGATAGAGTTCTTGAATGACACGTTTGTGAGAAACTCTAGATTCAAATTGTTGTTCTATCTCTACGATAGGTATAAATCAAATTTTTTTTTAAATACTTTATTCCGAACTTATGAACACACAGACACTAATGTGTATCTGTGAGTGTAATACGTAACTTTTTGCAGTCTTATCTTTCTTCTTATTCTTATTTATTGATAATTGCACTTT